CAAGGGAGAACAACATATCTCTCTGAACAAAGCAAAAGTTGAGCCTATATAGAACTTTGGAAGCTATGGAGGGGAGGAATTAGTAAAAACGCAGAAGTTGGAGTCTTTAAGGAATTGACTGGCTTTCAAATTCAGAAGTGTGGTTTCTGGAGTGAGCCCGTGGTCCGTGGTCTGACTTTCAGAAGTCAAATGACTACCATAAAGAAAATAAGAGCACAGAAAGAGTGGCTGCAGTAGCAAGAATGGAGAGGAGAGGAAAGGGAGGGTCTTTCAGCCACAGTTTCCTTTAATAATGCAGAGAACAGAAACCCAGGTTTGCCTTGCTGACTGTTCGCGGGGTTCTTTCAGCCTCCACTGTCTCTTCTCTATCCCATTATCTGTGTTCTATGTCTATTGCATCCCCAGCCAAAGGTTTTTCCTGCTTAATCAGGTCCAGTCTCCTTGCTGTGCTATCAGTTCAGAAAGGCATACAGACAACCTGCGATGGCATCTCAGAGGAGGAAGACATTATCGCTGGTTGGTTGAAGGAACCAGGAAGAACTTCTTTCATTGAATAGTCAAAAAATGTTCATCAAACTCCTACAAACTGCCAGGCACCTTCTGGGTGCTACGGAAATAACAGTGAAACCAACAGACACAAACTTATGCTCTCACAGAGCTTAACCTTTCTTTATTGGAGAGACAGATATTAAAAAATATATATATATATATATAAATTTGTATAGGTATTATACGTCCCATCGTAATCACTGCTCTGGAATCAAAACAGAGAAAGCAGTGCAGAGAGGTAGTTGCATCGTCGTATGAGGTGGTCAAGGGAGGCCTCCCTGAGAAACTAATGTTTCAGGAAAGAATCAGAATGGTGAAAAGACCACAGATGGTAGAGCTGTATGAGCTTGGAGAACAGTAACGAGATGAGGTCTGAGGTCCATGAGATAATAAGGAAATGGGCCTTAGAGGTTATCAGAAGGATGTTAGCTTTCAGTTTGATGAGGAGTCATTGAATGGTTTAAGCAGAGAAGTCATCATGTGATCAGATTTACCTTTTCAAGGGAACGTAGGAGGTACTGTGTTTAGAATAGTCCACAGAGAATGAGGGGAAAGGGTGGAAGAAGGTGGTTAGTTGGGATGCTACTGCAGTAACCCTAGCATTTGATGGCGGTTTGAACTAAGGTGGTAAAAGTGGGGGTGATGAAAAGCAGTCATATCCTAGGTATAGTCTTCATGGAAGATTCCTCAAATTGAAAGATTTCATTAAGAGCCACTATAAACTCTAGCAGTTAGAATGAAAATTCTGAATATCCTTCCTCAGGAGACCACAGCTTGACCTATTCTAGAATCTCCAGAGGGCCTTTTTTGACCTGGGCTGGGGGAGAAAGAGGCACATTATCACATCTGGCTATAAAAATGAAATATGTCCATCAAAGACAAGACATAATCTAGACCCAATTCTGTATAGATTTTTATAGTATTTTCTCCTAGATAATTGTGTGAATTATGGGGATTTTTTTAATTCATTGGTGTGAAGACAGTGATAATTTAAATTTCACTGCTATTCTGGTTACGAGTGGGTGTTGACATTTTTTATTTTATCGTGTGTGTGTGTGTGTGTGACACACACACAAGGAACAGGGTGAGAGAAAGAGAAAGACTGAGCAGGCTATAGAGCTGCTGCTATTCTCTGGGTAATAAAAGCTTGAAATCCTACTAATGAGGTTAAAAAAAAATCTTAACTTTTTCTGTGTGCTTAATAATAGCACTGCCTACTCACATAACCAGAGTTCTTGGAATAATTGCCCTCTTTCTTACTCTATTTTTAGGGCCTAGAAAATTTGAGAGGAGAGGAAAGTACCTTCAGGTGCAGAGCATTTCCATCTAAAAGCTCAATTCTAGGACTTCAACATTTGGCTCTAAACCATGTTAAATGTTTCCTTTCATGTGAAAGTGAAGGCTGGAACTGACATTCATCATTGGAGCTCTGAATGGTTTCTCTTTCAGTGAGAGGACAAAAGATTGATCCTTTGCTGCAGATTCTATCTTTCCCCAATTGGGGGATCTTCCTGTAACATTTTTTTCTGGTGCTTTTGTAGACACCATTTGTGTTTGCCAATAACAGAATTAAAGTGTTTGTGAAGCCATAGAATTTTATCAGAACGTTTAACTTTGAGGAGAAGGTGGAGTCTAAGGTATGATCAATGTTAATATTGTTAGAGCCCTCACTAAGAGTAGAAGTGTTTGAAATACATATATTTAGAAGG